GTAGTCTCGCACGCGAATTTAACATTTTGCAAGTTTCATTATGAACTTGTTAACTACAATATTAAAATATAAAAACGCATCTATGCTTCCGAGAAATATTTAATCAGAAGAATCCCATACATCCATGTCTCTTGGTAAATAATCCACTGTGATTTGCTGTTATCACAGCCCAGAACACAGCACAGCAATTCGGTCCTACAAATGGCGGCCGCACCACTGTGTGACGTCACATGAAACCTATGAATTATCTCATCGCACTGGATTGAATAAAGCAAGAACAGAGTTTACCACGAATGCAATGTAATGAGTGCATTCAGTGTTTATCTTACATGTGCATGCAAACAAGCAGCTCCTGAACACAAAAAAGCTGATGATGTACATTGCAGGCGCACTCTTATATTCATGGTGCTCCAGTGATGACATCATAGACTGTCGTCGGCCAATAGGATTGTTGTGTTTGCACACATGCTTCAGACACCAGTAACGCTGATGAACTTCCCCATAGAGTCAGTCCAAGACGCAGTGTCCCGTTCCTCCTCTCAGGGAACCATGGTTACGGTCATAATTTGAGACGTTCTCTGTCTCTTCAAATGATTACACTTAAATCATGGGAAAACACTCCATGATGACTGCTTTACCATTTGATCTTTATGTATCTGTAGACTACATTGTGAAATGTGGTTTCAGTCAGGGTACTTGTAATCCGGATTTGGTAATCTGAATCATTGATTGAATCTGAATCATGAATCACTGTGAATTACTGAATTATTTTTATCCACATTAAATTTTTTAACCAGCTGGATCTGTAGATTGGGACAATATGCCATGTGAGCAGTGGTAATTTAACACCAGGGATTTAGGTTTGTTTTACCTACATTTTAACCAGTTTATTATTCTAAATTGTATCATAAGTTAAGGAAAATGATCAGTTCATGAAATATTAGGTTAACTGTACCGGTGTTGTCAGGTTGATGTTCTGTTTCTGTTCCGGGACTCTTATTTTGATGTTCTTTTCATCATGTTGTATCTTGTTTCTAGTTTCCTTTGTTTATTTCCTGTGTCTTTTGTTTCCTTGGTTCCTAAATATGTTCTCATCTGTTTCCATAGTTGCTGATTAGTTTGTTACCTGTGTATACTGTAGTTTGGTTCTTAATGAAAAAATAAAAATAAAAGAAATTAAAAGAAAGACTCTCTAATTGTAGGGACTTAACTGTAATTTAAGTCGTAAATTCTATAAGGGAATTAATCATTAATTTTATTTCTAGCTCAGGTTTTGAAAGGACTCGGATCTGAAAATTCGAGGTCCACCTGATTAAAACTGAATTCAAATCTAATAGTTTACACTTTAAATCAACGGTCGTCCAGC